AAAGATATTTTTTTGAAAGCTTCACCACCCGATTCTCAAAATTCAAGTCGTACAGGGCACACGTTCATAGTTTTTTTGTTTAAAGCGAACCGAATAATCAAAAATATTTTAAATTACCGTTGGAACACCCTGTATTTGTATGATATATGGACAAATTGATGCGGATTCGAAAAGAGTGTAGTTTGTTAGATTTCTTCTCAGAATCGTTCTTGTTATAATTGTTTTAATTTATCATTATTAAATATTGTTACTCGGTAATATTTTTTATGAATTTAAAAGTACAAAATGTGGTGCGAAGCACTGTTATATATAAATATTTTAAGTATGTATTATATATTCTCGTATATAAGATAGTAACCATTTTGTTTTGAACCTGACCGTTTTGTTATAGTCCAATCATTTGAGAGTCTTTTCTGGAACGTTTTCCGCGAATTTTGAAAATTATTACCTTTATATGTTTGAGGAAATGTTCGCTTTGCTGGCTCATATCTTCATCGTTTGTATCGCCATCTTAATAAAATGGTGTTTTGCATATACACATTGTTATAAAGTATCTAGCCAAACTTCAAGGGTGATCTAAGATACACAAAACAATGCTAAATATATAAATTTTAATTGTAGGAGCCTGTTTGACTGACTTGATTCATTTAATTTTTGTTATGCAATGTTCGTAGCTAACTTTTTCCTCAGAAAGGCTAACTTGTGCTGAGCATAAACCTTTACGAACTCACCGAAACATTTTTTCAAAAAAATCGTCATAGTCCTTAAGACAATTTTGTTAAAATTTGATAGCACTGTATATAAGAGTCATTTAGCAACATGGTAAAAGAAGCATCACTTTACAAGGTAGCAAAGCAAAACTTTGAAAAAACTAGGAATACTGATTTTAAAAACTAACGAAGAACATTCCAAGCAACCTTTCTGACGGCCAAATGTCTGGACTATTTGGTTTCCTTATTCAAGGAATGTGATTGAACATAGGATATAGCTTTTTCTTTTTGTACAGGGTCCGTGATTGCATTTTAACGGTGATCAAATGATATGAAATTTGACTCAGGTATTAAGAAACACAATCAAATATTTGTATATAGCATTAAAAAATGGAAAATTAATGAAAAAATCATGCTCTCCGTATATGACGCATATCACAGTTCTTATAAACAGTTGTGTTAAAATTGTGTTAAATGTAAAGGCCCATTCTCCCAGTCTGATGATAAAAAATATTTTCGTTAGTGCCTCACATCTAAGCGCTGATTTGTATTTTTTACTTGACATCGCAAAATACATTCCACAAAATTTAAAATATGTAATGACCTTTTCACGTTTCACAAAAATTCCTGTCTGTCAGTGTATTGAGTCAAGAAACCAAGTTAGGCGTGTTTTCTTCCCGCTAGAGTGTACAACTTACAGCTTAAGCCTCTAATAATGCCATCTCTGAAGCAGATGTCGCATCACATCAGAGCCAAAACCGTGATAGCTCAAGCGTCATGACGTATAGGCAAACACGTCCGGCAATCAACGAGTGCACATCAAGTAAACAATAGCTAGTTCCAAGTTGACATCTTATAGGAAAACATACATACGAGTACATAATTTCACAAAAAACCTTATAATGTCAAAAAACTGACAAGTCACTTTTTCAAGATAAGCAATTCCCCTGCGGATCTTGCTACATGATTCTGCCCTCTATTAGGGAAGTAATCAGAGTTCATTATATATTTTAATTTTTTTGTATACTGTTTCCTGAAGTTATCTCACCAATAGGTAAAAACCATGTTATGTTATTTGGCAAAATTTTAGAAGTTGATGTCATTTTTTATTATCTATTTGTTAGCTGAGCCTTCTAGCCATGACTGCTACTAGTAGCTATCTCTGAGGAGGACCTAAGCCTTTGTCCTTTTTTCCTACTTTGACGCCCCCTCATTGAATGTTCATCGCTGATAGAATATAAAAATATAAAAATAACCAAAATATAGAAATTTTCTGCTTTCTCCCTTACCTCCTTTCGCCCTTTATATAGAGTATTCCCTAATGATATGCGAATATTTAAGGGTTGTGAATCTACATGAAAAATTAATGTTAGTTTGCTTTATAAACAATGGTCCAAAAATGTTTCCTAACAAAAACTCGGGGTGTTTTAGGAAAAAATGGAAATTAATTAATATTTTCAGAACTGCTTCAGATATTTCACTGATGTTTAGTACGTAGTGAAAGTTAATAAAGATGCATATTTCCAATGCAAAAATAATTTTAGCTTTAACAGTGGAGTGCGTACGGGTATTGACCTCGATATTTTATAAGAAAAAAATGGTACGCCAATGGTTTTTTGTCAAATAAAAATTATTTTTGAATTCCCCTTTCAATTTAAAACAAATGATCTCTCCTGAATTGTTCTCCTTCGATGCGCCATTTTTGAGTAAAAAAATAAAAACCGTTCTATTGTCTAGCTTGCAAAATTATTATTAATTAATTGGAAAAATTAGGAGTAATGAACAACAACAACTGACATAAACGTAACATTAAAACCAACGAAATGATTACAAAAATTGTTGAAAATGGCCCCCTTCACTTAATATGCATGCTTCCGCCCTCCTCATGGAATTGCGCAGTCGTTGAAATATCTCTGGAGTGTTTTTTTATTCTATCACAAGGTGCAACTATTCTTTCTCTTAATTCCTCTACAGTGTTAATGGGACTTGTGTACACTAGTGTCTTAAGATAGCCCCATAAAAGAAATCTGAACTGTTGAGGTCTGGGGACCTTGGTGGCCATTCTTGGGGCCCACCGCGGCCAATCCTACGATTTGGATAAACAGTTTGTAAATAATTACGAACCGCTACACTGAAATGCGCTGGTGCACCATCATGCATGTATGTAGCACATATTGTTTCTTATTACTAACGGAACATCATCAAGCAGCAATGGCAACTGTTGTTGAAGAAAATTGAGGTAAGTCTGTCCGTCAAGTCGTCCCGGCAATAAATAAAGTGGTTGCCAATAATTTCTGCCCATACGTTAACCGAAAATTGGTGTTGGAAATGGGTTTCGGTTAAGGCATAGGGATTTCCTTCTGCCTACAAATGATTATTGTGGAAATTCTGAATGGCATTTCGAGAAAATTAACTTCGTCCGTGAACAGAATCATTGATTCAAATTGCGGATTTTGTGTAATTTTTTAAAGATACCACTGACAACAGGTCACACGCCCTTGGAAAATCAATGGGCAGTAATGCCTGTATTCTAAATATGGTAAGGATATAACAAAAAATCCACTAAAATTCTCCAAACAATTTGATGGCAAATATTTAAGTGTCTAACAATCTTTTTCGTACTCGTTTCAGGATGTTCTTCGACTTCGTGGCAGCAATGCTTCCTCAATTTTAGGTGTTCTCACACTTAGAGGTCTACCTTCAGATGTTCCTTTTCGGACAGAACCAGTTTCAACAAGACGAACGATGAATATTAGAAAATGTTCGACTATCTGGCAAAGCACGATCGGGATATCTCTGGTGATAAATCCGTCTGACTTGCTCACCATTACCGTCGGCAAGGCCATATACGTAATGCATTTCCACCATTCTGCATTTGAATAATTCGCCATTATTAACAAGATTGTAAAAACTAAATAATTAAAAAGATATCACAGCGAATATGAATAACATAGACTTGTCAGATGTCAAAAGCCAGTGACATATTCCAGAGCAACTAGAATATTTATTGCTAAATTACATTCCTCATTATTACATTAATTTTATCGGACAATAGAACGGTTGTTTTATTTTTTTTACCTCAAAAATGGCGCATCGAAGGAAAACAATTCAAGAGGATCATTTGTTTTAAATTGAACGGGGAATTCAAAAATGTTTTTTACTCGGCAAAAAACCATTGACGTACCATTTTTTTCTTAAACAATATCGAAGTCAATACCTGTACGCACGCCACTGTTAAAGCTAAACATTATTTTTGCATTGAAAAATATTGAACTTTATTAACTTTCACTACGTACTAAATAT